TCTTCCTGCGTGCCCTGCTAACTCCCAGACATTCCCAGCGATTCCCAGCTGTTCCTAGCCCTTGCTCACTGACACTGGTTTCCCCTGCACTGCACTCTCATTATTATCACTCTGCCAGCCAGGCTGAATTCTTCCTCAACCCACTTGCTTTTGCCTCCTGCCTAAATAGCAATATTTTTTTCTATTTAATTGAGTCCCTTGATTCCAGCTTTTCTCCTTTTTTTCCCCCCTTCTGCTTTTGAATTTCTCCAGCCTGCCTGTGAGACACCTTATGCCACACATTCTTTTACCCCATTTCTTTTCAACAGTTCTTTGTATTTTCCCATTCTGTCCTTGACCACAGACAAGAATTCCCCAATGACCTCTGCAGACACACCAAACTGTTTCTTTCAAAAGTTCCTCTAAAACCTTATTTTGCTATTCTTCTCCCTAAATCCCAGCGACAAACATGCCAGTTGTGTCCTGAGGATGATGCTGCTGCTGCCTGTCACACCAGGCAGTGTGTTGACTAGTCCTTGTATTGTTTTTGGCTGGTCTGGGGACCTAATCTTGGGCTTAGATTAACCTGTTCCTGGCTTGGATATTTTTCTTGTGTTTATGCAACATTTAGGAGTAAGAGGTAAGGTACGGTGATAAAAAATGGTGATGATGATGATGATGATGGTGATGATGATGGTGATGATGATGGTGACACTCTACCCTGCATAACAGTTAAATGACCTGCACTTGCCCGCCTTCTGCTGAAAGCTCCCACTGAGTATTGGCCTGAGACTCCTGAAGGAGGGAATCTCACGGACTTACCTTTCTCATACCACTGAGAGGTATTGTAGTCACAAGTAATTTCATGTGGAATGAAATACCATGAACAGGTGCTTATAATGACCTAAAACTGGTTAAACAAGGCAATTTCCACAAATAAATGTCTACACAAAATAGGAATAGTAAATCTTCTCAAACTACATCAGGAGCTGTATTAAGCCCAAAATTGTTTGTAGTAATTCAAAAGGAGATTTAAAAAGGTAAATGGCATTTCCTTACATGAATTATTTCCTGTTAATTTCAGGATATTCAGGACTTATTATACTAATGATGTATAACATAGGTTTGAAAATTTTCCTGCTTTATCATAGCTGAATAGTATAACTGTCTTTCAAATAGCCAAATTATACTCTATACTTGGAGGAGTGAACCGTTATATCAGCAAAACTGTCCAAGTAAACTTCCAGAGAAGATATTAGTTCAGTTCTACTTTTCAGAAAATCTGTACGAATAATTCAGGAAAGATACTGAGGTGCTGGAGCAGGTCCAGAGAAGAGCAACAAGGCTCTTTTGAAGGGACTTGAGCACAAGTCCTGTGAGGAGAGGCTGAGGGAGCTGGGGTTGTTTAGCCTGGAGAAGAGTAGGCTCAGGGGAGACCTCATCACTCTCTTCAACTACCTGAAAGGAGGTTGTAGCCAAGAGGGCGTCGGTCTCTTCTTCCAGGAGCCAGCAGTAGGATAAGAGGGCTCCGCCTTAAGCTGTGCCAGGGAAGGTTTAGGTTGGATATTACAAACAGATTTTTTAGAGAGAGAGTGATCAGGCATTGGAATGGGCTACCCAGGGAGGTGGTGGCTTCTCCATTCCTGGAGGTTTTTAGGATGAGATTGGATGTGGCACTGAGTGCCACAGTCTAGTAACCACGGTGGTGTTGGATCAAGGGTTGGACTTGATGATCTCAGAGGTCTTTTCCAACCTGGTTGATTCTATGATTCTAAGAAGAGACATATAGGCTTAGTGAAACCCAGTTTTTCCCCATAAGTCACAGAGCAACTTTACAAATTTTTGTATGTGATACCTTGATATGAAAATATAAATAATTTAGTGACAAATAGGCATATAAAGATATAGAGCAAATACATACAAACCCAGACATGAAAATAATAGCATAACTAATTTTTTTTCCATAGATTTAATCAGTTTTTACTACCATTACCTTACCAGTATTTTTTCCAAAGTGTTTTTTCAGAATAGAGGCCTAAATTTTTTGCAGTTTCTAAAATAGATTTTCCTGTCACCCAGAAGAGTGCCAACTTGCTAATTTGCCCCACAAGCACTTCTGGGCATCAGATTCAGCAATTCCACTGTTGTACAACACTGTGTATTTCCCTGTTTATGACAGCTTTGAACACCTTGCAATGGACTAAGTCCCCATGGAAAATTGAGGGTAAATGTTGACTAATGGGGTCAAATTATCTCTGCTGAGACAGGACCACAACTTATCACCATAGTTCTACACAAAGCTCCCTGAGGTCTATGATGACAACACTTGGGAATGCTGCTCTGTAAATGAATCCTCTGGAATTAAAATACACTAAAATTAAAGTTAGGGTATAAAATAAAGTCAATCAGTGTGCTTATCTATATGTTCTTTTTCTTCAGAACCCTATGGAATAAATTACATCTCCAGATTCCTTTACATCTGTTTACACATATAACTCAGTCATGTTCATATATATGAATTTGGCATAGCATTTTTATTTTTTAAAAAGCAAGAAAACCCTCTTCCTTATTGTTGTCAATGAAGAATTTTTAAAAAATAACATATAGTTACATTAAGATATTAGATAGTGTATACTTTTCACAGATATGCAGTAGGTATTTAAAGCAATAAAACCTAGGTTGTCCTTGTATAAGAATGATCAATTAATAAAGAAAATATCATTGAGAGAACTAAATCATACTCGAACAATAAAGGACAAACTGATGGCTACATGAACAGTGTTCATGTGAACATGAACATTAGACTCCCTGTATTTCCTATGGATTGCTGTGCAATGACATATTCAACATTTTCAGCTTAGGAAAAATGCCTACATGTCTTGGAGAAAATTATGTAGTCAAAGAAAACCCTCTCTTTATTTATAGATAAAAATTAACTCCCGTCATCTGTGTGTGTGTGTGTGTGTGTGTGTGTGTGTGTGTGTGTGTGTGTGTCTCAGGTGGTCTGGTGGAATAGATGATGTGTGATCACTCATTTGTGATTTATGCAAGAGCTTTATTAAAGCACAAATTATGTAAGTTGGGACAAAAGCTTGCAACTTTATCTTGGCAAAGATGAGTTCTTGCTGCAGCATTTGGTCGTGATGTACAACGTGCTTGTTTTGGGAAGCTGTGAGTATTCACTGGGTGTCAAACATCTGAACACTCTCTGGAGTGGCAGTCTGCTTCTCTTCCTTGATTTTGCTGCCTTGCCATTTGCTTTCATCAAGAGATAGGATATTCCATGAAATCTTACACACTGAATTAATCCACTGACTTGGACAACACTAGCTGAGTGATATCAAGGCATTGGAAGAGGCCAGTAAGACCCCAGTCACTGAGATGTAGGAACACAAGTAATCTCACACGTTCCAGTCACAAAAATGGTGTTCAATCCCTCTCCAAAACCTGGAGTTCCCTAGAAATGGCCGGTTAAGCTGAAATATCTATGTGAAGCTCAGTTCCAGGAGGATTTGTGCATCTGTTTGTTTTTTCTATTATGAAATTTCCTGTTGACAGGACAAGAGCCTTACACCCCTGCATGGGTGCACAGATCCTGTAAATAATACTCAAAATCACAACTGCTGACACAGATCACACATGGAATATTTTCTAACTCTGTGCATTATACAGCAATACTGTAATTTTCACTTTTTTTTTTCCTGGACAGTTATTAACAGTATGAAATTTCTGTTATTTTTTGACTCCTAAGGCTCAATAAAGGCAAACAGATAGAAATATGGAAGAAAAAACACATTTTCAGGTGAAACAACTCCAAATGCCTTTTCCTGAAAGAACCTTAAAAGGAAGCTTAAATTGCTAAATCAAAGGTGCAGGGTGCTCTGGTTGGTAGAAATTTACATATTATTTATGTTTTACGTAAAAGAATTTTTGTTGCCGGGTCCCTCTCCAAAATTTGCTGGAATTAAGGTGTTGAGGTACCACTGTCCCGAGTGCAGGAACCGGACCTCACCCGCTGCCATCCTGACTCACTCGGTGTGAAAACAAACCCGCGTAACTCCTCGCATAATTTCCTTTCGGCATGTGCTGAGCCGCCCCCTCCTCTCGGCGTTCCCCACGCACCGTCCTCCCGCACCCGCGTCCCCGCCCGCGATGCTGAGTGTTACAGCCGCCAGCTGGGATCTAAAAATGGTCCCAGCGTGCCTCAAGCGATCCCAGACACAGACAGAGCCCCCCGCACCCCGAGCCGGGATGGTCTTTGCGCGCCTCGCGGTGCTCGGAGGGATGCAGTTCCCCGGGGGGGACACCTGCAACGCCTCCCTGCGCCTTTAACCAGCGCGAGTATCGGGTTAAAAGTGACGGGTTTCTGGTGCTTCACTTGTGTTACACTGCTGCGTTTCGCCGCAATTCGCTCGAAGGCGAAGTTGCCGGCTCCGGCATCCGCGCTCCCCCGGCCCTGTCACTTTCCAAGATTTTCGCTCGAAGAATCGAAAAGGCGGAAACTGTCGAGAAACCCACGGGCGGCCGCAAATCACCCCGCGGCTCACGGCCTGTCCTGGCCGGCTGAGAGCACCGCTGCCCGCGGGTTTCACTGCCCGAACCCCCGCTCCATCCACCCCCAGGGAGGGACGGAGTGACGGAGGGATAGCGGGATGGAGAGATGCAGGGATACAGGGATAGGGGGACGCAGGGAGAGAGAGATGCAGGGATGGGGGAGGGGAGAAGGGGGGCAGGGACCTGGGCGCTGCGGCGGCGACGACTTTGCTCTTTAAATCGCTCTCCAAAGCGGATTTACGGCTGATCCCGCACGTCACTGCCCGGAGACCGCTCCCGCCGCCGGCGCCCGCTCCGGCTCCTGTTGCGGGGCGGTGGGAGGTGTTGTGGGGCGGGGCGGGGCGGGGGCCAGGGGGAACACACGGCTCGGCCCCCGAGGGGCGGGCGGAGCGCAGGGCCGGGGCCGCCCCGTCGGTGCTGCCCGAGCCCATGAGGAGAGGCCGCGGAGCCGCCGAGCGCCCGCGGAGGCTGTTCCGCGGCCGCGGGTCCCGGCACGATGCAGAAGAGCGTGCGGTACAACGAGGGGCACGCCCTGTACCTGGCGCTGTTGGCCCGCAAGGAGGGCACCAAGCGGGGCTACCTCAGCAAGAAGACGGCGGAGACCAACCGCTGGCACGAGAAGTGGTTCGCCCTCTACCAGAACGTGCTCTTCTACTTCGAGGGCGAGCAGAGCGCCCGCCCCGCTGGCATGTACATGCTGGAGGGCTGCAACTGCGAGCGGGTGCCGGCTCCCAAGGGATGCTCGGCCGGCAGCGCCAAGGATGCTGCTCTGGACAAGCAGGTACCGCCTCGACGGCCGCCCCGCGCCCCCAAGGGATGGAGGAGGAGGCGGGAGGGAAGGTGGGGGGAAGCAGGGCGCTGCCGCCCGCCTCGCATCACCCCGGAGGGGTCACGGTGTCACCCGGGGCTCCGGCCCCTGCGGGGAGTTCCCTCCCGCTCTCGGAGTGCTGGGAAGAGAAGCAACCACTCAGAAACAGGCGAAGCCGGTGGCTTTTGTGTTCTCTGCGATGACTTTTCCCTCCTCCCTCACTCTTTCTTCTCCCCAGTGACTGCAAGCCGAATTTCAGCGGGGCGCCCGGAGAGCAGCATCCCGCAAACAAAGTGTTGTGTCATCTTGATGCTAACACTTCTGTGGTGCAGCTATGCATGTCTCACCAAACTCAGCAAACAGACGGTGCGAGGGGCCAAAGTCCCAAAAGAGCACAGGGACACTCTAAGAAGTCACCTAGCCCTTCTCTGCGGGGCTGCCCCTCTCCCAGCGATGCTCTGAAGGGGTAATAGACTGTCAGCTCCCCCTCGGGAACCCCCGCCCTGCAGGGGCGAGTCCGTGCCCTGATTTGCGGCCTGCACAACCTCGCAGGAGTGGGCAGGTTCTTGGCCAGGCAGGTGTTGTGAAGCCGATCTTGCTTGAGGTAGAAATGGTGGCACAACGCCCGAGCCGAGTCTCGCTTGGCTGTTCTTGGGGGAGGACCCTCAAAGCTGTGGTGGGATTCCTTCACGAGGGGAGTGACGGTTCATAACCGTGAACTGCCGAATTCCTGGTCCCCGCCCCCAGCTGATCCTCCCTAAAGCTGATCTGTTTGACATGACTATGTCAAACAGGCGAGTGTTTAAATACTCCCCGTGCATTACATAATCCCGAGGAGAAGGGCGCCGTGGTTGTTCAGCGCAGGTAGAGATCGGGTATCTCCACCACACACCTCCGGTTGCCTCATTTGAATTCCTGATCTTACTTGCTGCCTGTTTGAAATGTGTTTGCGTCTGTGCCTGCCATGCCCTCGTGCCTTTCTCCCGGAACCAACAGGTGTTAGACAGGTTTGGGGAAGTTTGGGTGGTTGCGAGGAGCGTGGTTTGAGCCGCCCACAGGCGTTTCCCGATGGTTGTGAGAAAGGGACGCAGACCAAAGCCACGCTCTGAAACCCAGCACATCGCCGTGCTTGGCTAGGGCGAGCTCCTTTGCAAAGAGAGCTTTGGTGCTTTCTTGCCCATTTAGCACAAACACTTGTGCGCTTCAGCAGCCTTCAGATAGTAGGTGGTTAATGAGTGAACTTCGGGAAGTTAGGATGGCTGTAGTTTTGTCATATTCACCTTTCACAGTCTCATTCATTGTTTTGAGATGTTTTTACAGCATTATAAATGGAATATTGGAGGCTTCCCCAGATGAAATTAAACGTGGATATTTAAAGCCCTGCCTGCTTTAGATTGGCTTAGTACACTTGCTCATGAGTAGTGTTAAACTACATCTTGATGAAGAGAACTGTGTGAAAACAAATCCTTTCCATATCTGTTCTCTTGGAATCTTAAGCCGTGCTTTTGTATTGATGAATGAGTTGTTCATAATTGCATTTAGTGGTGCAGAGACAAAATAATTACAGGTCATGAAGCCGATCTTTGCACTGGTTTAAACATGAACTATGTTGGTTTTCAGCAATATCAAGCTGCTATTAAAGAGACAGAAGAACACTTAATTTTTCTTACAGGAGGCTAGTTTTAGTTTTCAAGGTAGATCACCAGAAAATATCTTTTTATGTTCATCTTTTGCTTCACTTAAAACCTTTATTCAAAGCTTTTCAGTGTTAGTAGTTTTTACAGATTTTTTTCATTAAAGTGTACCCTTGTTTGAATATACATATAGACACAAACATTTTGCTAAGGTGTACAGGAAATTCCCTTAATGACTAAAATTGATTCATCACAAGAAGAAAACAGAAAGATTGGAAAATTAAATAGTCTTTTTTATTCAGAAAATGTGCTCATGTTCTTACACGTGTGAAGTAATAAACCATGAACCTTCATAGAACCTTAATTAACAGAGGCACACAAAGTTATTTTAATCAATCAGATGATAATGAAAACTCAGTGCGTTAGTTAGTGTAAAAATACTGCCTAGATTTAATTTGCCTTGATTTAAGCACACAAATGTATTAATGGAGTGAAAAAAAATGAGAAGCTCTATGCCAGTGTTTGAAGAAATCAGATCTCTTTTCTCAGAGAGAGAGAGAGAGAAGAAAAGACTCTTTTAGTCTGGGTTTTATTTACGTAGGTAATTTCAACATTAGAGTTATAGATATGAGCTACAGAATATAGATATGAGTTATAGAATTACACAAATGAGGGAGAGAAAGAAGAATTAATCACGAGAGACCTCCATCAGCATACTTTGAGTGGATATTTGAAAAAGCAATGCATTTTCTTCAAGTTATGTAATGAAGATTATGGAAAATGCTTGCAGGACAAATAGATTTTGTTTTCCTTAACTTGCAGATCCTTTTAATTTTAGTTTTGAGTTGTTTTGGAATTGATTGTCGTGTCCTGTGCCAGGTAAAACTGTGCTGGTAAGTTGTCAGAGCTCAGTGGGAGGAATGTTACGGCTCTACTACTCCGCACAGGAGACTGAATTTTGGTAAACAAATGTGTCTAGGTTTGGGTTATCTCCCAACAATCCCAGCAGACGGATAATTTCACACTTAACCTCTGCTGGTGCTGGTAGGCCTGTCCAGCAGCCCATCATGAAGGAAAAGTATTACAGGAACCACCATTGTGTGGAAGATGCCAAATGCCTTCATAAGATTTGCTGTAATATTACAGTGTTAAGAGCTTAAAAATATTGCAATGACGCAATGTGCTTATTTTGTCTTTTCCACTAACATATTAGGTTTTTTTTGTTTTGTTTTGTTTTTGTTTTTGTTTTGTTTTGTTTTTTATCTCCAGAAGAATATTTACTTCAAAGGAAATTCTTTTAAAAGTACAGTACCTTTATTAGTATTACTGCATAATGAGTGAATCGATTGGTATTCTGGGAATATGGGATCAAGTTGAGTATGTTGCAGATAATAAATGGTTTGTAGGGGGAGTTTTGTTTTTATGGAAAAGTGTTTTGATCTCCATCATAATTTAGAATAGTTTTTGTAAATACCAAACTGATGTTGTTATGCACTCTGATTTCACATTTCAGACAGAAAAAAAATACCACCAACAATTTATTGAAAGAATAACAATGTGGAAGAAACTGAGTTTCGAAGCAACAAAGTAAGATATGGAAATACTACATATGAAAATTTTCTGATATTGGTTAAACGGCTTCTTCCCGCAGGAACTGTGGGTTGTGAACAAGGGTAGGTCCAAACAAGTCCTTCACTGTGACACTGAGAGACTCAAGAGAGAACAAATTCCAGCTTTTCTTTCAAAAACTCTGGAAAGAGAATGGCTCTGCCCCAGTGAGTGGGTAGTCTCTGTTGAAAGTGAAGTAAAATGCTGAAAACCACACTTTCTGCAGTGCTTCATAGGAGGTTGGCACTTATTATCCAGTAGGTTCACAGATACTTTTTTTAAAATATTATTGTAAAACAACTGAATAGAGGAATGTAAATATTATCATTATTATTATTGTCTGTATTGGGAGGAGGCCTGTATGTTTAGATTCCTTCATAACTGTGCATTGAATACATGGAAATGTTCTGATACAGTTATTAATAACTGTCTTAGAGTATTAAAGCTTGTAAATATTACACGATTTTAGCAGAGACTGTTCTTTGTATCTTGCCTGCAATAATCTTCCTTCCACTTAGCAAAATTAAATGCAGTATTAAGTCCATGTCCCCACAGATTAACAGAATCCAATTATTTTAATTTTTTTTCTACTTACTGTAGCTCTGATTTTGTAGAGGACACAGTGATTTTGTGATGTTTGGAACCTCTGTGTTTTACATATTTTCCTTGGTGTGCAAAGGCAGGCAAATGCTATGAACAGCTTTTGCTGTACCTCTCAGATAGTTTAATATATATATAACCTGTTAACAGCATCTAAGGGGCATTTTTTTTTTTTTCTGAAGATATAATGAATTAACTGTTAATGACTTTTATTGGGCAAAAGGCCCGGTGTTGTTCACCTTCCCATGCCTGTTTTATGTAGCAGGTGGCTGAGGAGTGGTGGGGGGTCTTTTTGGCACCTTCAGGTGTTGCACTGTCCATAAAACTTACTGCTTGCATGTGGGCAAATAGCTCCCTGGGACGTTACAGTGCAAATGTCCACCAGAGATGACCATATTTTAGAAATTTTCTGTAGTATTTAAAAAGTAATAGATGACTTTTTCTTCCCATCATCTGACAGGGAAAAAAATGTGTTGGATTTTCATCTTCTCCAAACTTCTTTTTTTTTTTTTTTTTTTGATGGAATATCTTCAACGGAATGAGATAATTAAAAAAGATGGCTATTAGTCCTCTTGGGAATGGTGTTTTTGTAAGGCCTTCCATGAACGAGTCTTGTGTGAAGACAACTTTGGGGTAACCTGTTCTTGTTTCAGTTTTCTAGGTTATCCCTGTCCCTCGCTGTTGTCTGGTCACTGTCATTAGATAACAAAATACTCTGGTTCAAACAATTTTGTTTTATATTTAAGGGGTAACTGAAAAGCAGGTCACTGGCTCTGCACTTCAGGAAATCTGCAGCCAAGTGGCTGCCCCTTTCTCTTCATGAAGAATTGAAAAGTGCGTTTACAGTGTGCCATCTGACCTCAGACAACATGTGGTAAATAAATGGAAAAATAAAGGTAAATTAAAAAAACACAACCACCCCCCCCAAAACCCCAAACAAACTAACAAAACCCTCCTTTTGATCTCTCCAGGGACTGAACTTTGCTCTTTGATAAATGCTTTGTGTTTACCTGCTTCCTTGGTAGTGAGCACATTTTGTGAACAAAGGAAAGAACAGGAAAATCTGACAGCCACATTCATTGCTATTTTGCCAAAATTGAGGCATTTGCTCCTAGCTTTAGTAAATGTTTG